TCCACCATCCTTGCCTCCAATCAGTCGGTCCAAAAAGAGTCAGAACCCACAACAAGAGAGCAACGAGCCTTCCCTACTTCCATAAACAAGTATGTGCTCAGGATAATAAGTTTGTGACCTGACTAGAATCCAATGCAATGGCCGGTCCTTAACCGACATGGATAGGGAAAATAGTGTAACCAAGCTATGCCCCGTTGGCCGTGGGACACAACCTCTTACACCCACCAATACCCGTACCATATCCCTGCCCGGTCTCCATTTCTTTTCACCATTTTATCATGAGAGTAATATTGATAATCACCTATTATGAGTAACGACAGGTTACTCACGCTACCGAAAAACCTAAGCATAGCAGCTACGTGGCCTAAGCTAGTAGGACTCATAGGTAGGTATATCTATGCATGTAGTTTCAATATAAATCTTGTAACGTAAATACACATCACATATATATATCCAGTGATTATTTAAAATAAGGGTTATGCACCGGGGCTTGTATTGGACAGGCGTGGTGTCAGCTCAGTCAGTCAGTGGTGGCTCCGGGACCTCCTCCTGCATGAGGATCTCCTCCTCGTACTCCTCGATCACCTCCTCGAACTTGTGATCTCCGATGGTCATGATCTTCGCCAACTCATTCTCTACATGCATGCGATGATGATGCAACACTTAGTATTTTTGCAACAACAACTCTTAAAATAAGAATACATCTACTAAGTCACTAAGCTAGCTCTAATGACTAAGGCAGTAAGATAACTATCATTATTACCAAGCAAAGTGTTGGGTTCAACTAACAAACACCTAGCTTTACAAATGAAGGATATATCTCTATTTTTACTAATGATTTAATGTATATTTGAAACAAAGAGTATTTAACTACCCTTATGTTAAGTCTATTCTAAAGCTACAAAAATTACAGTGAGCACATAATAATACCATGAAGCTACTATAAAATTTTCAAAGCTAAAGCTATCACCATTTTGCCACAAAAATTCCGACAATATTGAACCTAATAATATTCAGCACTCTCAAATGATTTAATAGCTCCTGATATCAACAAGTATATATATAAACTAAATACACTAACAGATAGAGCATAATTTTAGGAAGTTAACAAAATTAGTTTCACAATTTTTAGATACATACATGATTTTATATTAATTACCAAAGTTCAGCTCAGAATTAAAAAAGAAAAACTATTTCTATTCTACACGAAAAAGCTAAACTGATTTTGGCCCAACACGGCCCATGAGACACAACATGCGCGCACGCGCGAGCGCTCGGTGGCCCAAAGGCGCGACCCACGCGAGGTTGGCCTGCAGCGCGAGGCGGGCCGCGGCGGGGGAATCCCGCGCGCGCTGGTACATTAGCAAAAATGCCCCTGGACTATGAGCAAAACAACCCGCAGTCCATGTTACTATTTCTATAGACAGCGACTTTGCAACGGAACCCTCAGATCTTTCTCCTCTTTACAACGGCAAGGCCCCTGGCCTCCCTCGCGTGCTCCGGCATGACGAGCGATGGCACTGGCGCTTGCGCTGGCCACATGGGACCCATGCTGACCTATCTATGAGGGAGATGCTCACCTAGGGTTCGACGTCAGACGATGGGCGACGGTTGCACGAGCCAGGATGCCATAGAAGGACCTCTCCATGACGGCGGGCACCCTGCGGCAATAGCGACGGCGTTCAGATGAGCCGTAGCAACAACAAGGCGGTAGGGGTAGCGGGTGAGCAACGACAACTCACCAGTGACCTTACCGAGAAGCCGGCTCGGCAGGAGACGACCCGAGCGAGGTTGGCCACGTGCGCGCTACGAGGTGAACGGCTGACCACAAAGGCATGGCCACGTCAGCGGCAAGGAGGCGGCACTAGACCTGCGACTAGCGTGCACACGACGAAGAGGGAACCAAGGCGAGCTAGTGGTGTAGAAGAATTGGCGTAGGATGAAGTGGTGGAGGCTGGCCACGACGCGGGCGGCGACAGGCCTTAACGGCACAGTGGCGGGCAAAGCTCCAAAATTGGAGCTCAGCCTAGCCGTAATCAAGGTGGGGTGGGGTCGGCTGGAGAGGGGACATGAAGACGGAGACGCGAGCATGAGGAATTGATGAGAGGTGCTCGCTCTCTGGCTTCACCGTGACACGACGTGACGGCGGCGGAAAATAGAGGGAGAAAGAGGAAAAGAAAGAGACGGCGCGATAGGTGGGCTCGGCTCGTCCATGCCTTGGCGGGACATGAGTAGCGGGATCAGAGACCCACGCACCGACGCTACGGACAACGTGTGCCTGTGACCGACAGGCATGGCCCGCGCACCGCAGTGCCATAAATGGCATGGCGACGGTGGCTTGCCCACGTGTGCGCGATAGAGGCGACACGCACAATGATGGCAACAGCATAGAGGTGCAGCGGACCGACACGAATGCGACGATGATGCAATGACAGTGGCAGCATCGCGACGTGAGGAGGGTCAGCAATGTGGACGCGATGGCAGCGCAGCGCGGTCATGGTGGCACCCAAGACGACAGCGCGAGGCAGAGCAGCAGGGAGCGGGGCCAGCAGCTCGCTGTGGCCGGCCTCGGCCAAGCCTAGGCGGCTCGATTAGCCAAGCGTGGCGGCATGGTTGACCGCGCGGGACGCGGCCATGTGCGCGGCGTGAGAAGGCCGCACGGTGACCGCGCACCCGGCCCCAACAAACCCGAGATAGTGACACGGATGAATTTTAAAGCGTTCAACATGACCAAACAGTTGCTCCTAAACCTAAACCGTCTTCACCATGCTCAAGATGGCACATGAGGCTACCAAATCAAGCTATAACACTACACCACTCCTTTAACCCAATCTCTCACAATAAATTGCTAAACATAGCAATGTCTAACAGTCGGTAGACTTGAAAATTTCTATGTTTTGAGCTGAATTTGATTTCCATTTGTGATTTCTAAGCTAGTGGAAATATTAGATAGTAATATCATTTTTTGATCGCAAGTATTTCACTGTCATCTACAAAGTTTGTACTTCCAACTTTATTAAGTTGACACATATATGTTCTATAGCATTTTTTCTTAATAAAAATTGGTTTTAAACCCTAAGTGATATAATATGACTATCGAATCAACTTTCGTTTCGCATTTTAGTTGATCGTTTCGAGTTACGGAAAGATCTACACACCTTATTACCTGCATTAACACATAAACATGATGCTCATGACATGTTATAGTAAATGATTTATGGTGTAACACCGAGGGTGTTACATTTATGCACTTAGGGATGAAGCTGACCAGCACAGGCAGCACACCCTTAACCTGATCAATAACTATAATGATGGAGAGTGCCTAGCCATGCTTAGGATGACCAGAGCACCTTTTTTTGCTTTATGCAACTTGTTTAGAGCTAGGAGCCTAGTTTCTGATAGAGAGGGGGTCACAGTAGAGGAGCTGGTTGCAATGTTCCTCCATGTGGTTAGTCACAACCAAAGATTTAGAGTTGTCTACCAGTCTTTTAGGAGGTCCATTGAGACAGTGCACAGACACTTCCACCAGGTTTTGTATGCTATTGGTGAGCTTAGGAATGAGATGATCAAGCCTCCTAGCACTTCCATTGACCTAAAGGTATTTGGAAGCCATAGATGGAATCCATTCTTCAAGGTAGTTGTGAAGCACATGTTCCTTCATTAGATACATGTGCATATTCACATGTACTGTTACCTCACTTCCATGGTTTTTAGGACTGCATTGGTGCCATTGATGGCACCCATGTGTTGGCAAGGGTGCCTAGACATATGCATGTTGCTTTCAGGGGTAGGAAACACAACCCCACACAAAATGTCATGGCTGCTGTGGACTTTGATCTCAAGTTCACATATGTCCTTGCTGGCTGGGAGGGCTCTGCCCATGATGCACTTATCATGGCTGATGCCATAGAGAGAAATGATGGGTTCACTGTACCTGAAGATAACTGCACTACCTAGTCAATGCACTTATGTTCTTAAGATTGGCTCACACACTCACAGTAGTTGTCTAATTATAGGTAAATTCTACCTAGTAGATGCTGGCTATGCATGCCACAGTGGCTTCCTACCCCCTACAGGGGGGTTAGGTACCACTTGACTAAGTTTGGGAGCAGAAACCACCCAACCAATGCAAGGGAGCTTTTCAACCTAAGGCACTCATCACTAAGGGTCACTGTGGAGAGGGCTTTTGGTGCACTAAAGAACAGGTTTCGTATCCTAGACAACAAGCCCTTACACCCATATAAGACTCAAGTCAAGCTTGTATTGGCCTGCTGTATTCTGCACAATTGGATCCTAGGTTTTGGTGTTGACCAAGTAGTGCCACCTGTGGAGGGTTTCAGTGGCAGCCAACCTGACCCACTTGACAACCTGCCTAATAATGAGAGTCAGTCCCAAGACTCCAATGCCATGGCACTTAGGAGGGATGCCATCTGTAATGCTATGTGGGAAGAGAGGGGTACCTCTAGGATCTGATCATGCAGTAACTTTGTTATTCAATTCAATTTGTTTACCCAGCTATGGAACTCATGTTTGTATGATGCTTATGTAATAATCTATTGGACAAGCCTGAGACCAAATTTATTTCTTTCTCAAGTGTTTATTGTTTGGTTCATGTTGTTTTTCATCATCTATCACTAGTTCATGGTCTTTGGCCATGAAACTCAGCCATACAGTGGTAGCGGCATAGATCAATTATGATGCTCCTGTTGCGTGGCTATGTCCCATGGCCAAAGCTTATGTGTATTCATGATTGTGATGTTATTCTCCTACTTACTTTGAAATTGCAATACCAAATAGGATGGCTCCACTCCTAGTTGATCTGCTTGGTGCCCAGGGTGGGTTTGTGGCTGCTTCTGATGTAGTAAATGGGCTGCTAGGGGTGCTGTTGCTGCTGCTGTTGTAGCTGATGCTGGTGCTGGTGATGCAGCTACAACTGGTATTGGTGCTGGTGCTGCTGGTGCAGCAGCTGGTGATGGTGTTGCTGTAGGGGTCCTAGGGCCATGAGGTGGAACAACAACACCTCTGGCTTTGTCCTTAGGTGGATGGCTCAGCTTGTTAGTGATGGTAGTAGGCCTGACAAAGTCTTCAAGGATAAGGATGTTAAGCATGTTGCCAAAGCCCTTAAGGAGTACAGTGGGGAGGCAGTGAGCCCAACTCAGGTGTATAGCCACCTAAGGAAGTGGAGGCAGAAGTGGTCTAGGGTATGTAAGCTCAAGGACCTAAGTGGGGCACTTTGGGATAGTGACACTAATGCTATCATGCTTGAGCAGGAGCACTACCTTGGCCACTACAAGATAGAGCTTTGTTTTCTTTCTTATGTGTCCTTGTACCTATCTTTCCATTACTTGTCTAAAACTGTACCCTTTCCCCCCCCCCCCTTACTGCAGGACCATCCTAAAGATGTAGAGTTTCTAAACTGTCCTATAAGGTTCTACACTGAGATGGAGTCCACCTTTGGCCATGCTATGGCCACTGGTAGGTTTGCACTTGCTTCTGGTGAAGCCCTAGGGGCCAACCAGGCTGAGAGTGTTGCTGCTAATGTAGAGGGTCCTTCCTCTACCCATGTTCCTGCTGAGAAGAACCACACTGATGTAGGATGTAGCAGCAAGGCCACAGAGCTCCTCTCCTCAGCTATGGGTGCAAAGAGGAAGAGAGGGAACTTCAGCGGGGATGAAATGCTTATGTTGACCAATATGTCTGATGATGTCAACAATGTTGCCAATGCTCTTAGGGAGACTGGACCAGCCCATGTTGATGTTGATGTCTACCTTGTTGTGATGGAGATGCTTGGTTTTACTGAGGAGGCACTGATAGTGGCCTACACCTACCTACTGAACTACAAGGCCCAAGGCAGGGGCTTTGTTGGCATGAGTGACAACCATAGGGACATTTGGCTCAGGAACTACCTAGTCAAGAACTACTACATGTAGTTCCTACACAAATTGGCAACCATGTGCATTAAGGGGGTTGACTGTTGAGATATATAGTTCCTCCACCTCCCTCACCCACTCTCTCTTCTTTTGACTACAGTTGAGCTGTAGGTATTTTGTGCAGGTTACTTGGCTGACCCACACCTATCCTTTTGGGTTCTTTTTTGGGAGGGTGGCTAACTATATGTGCTAGAGGCACCATGGTAGGCATTTGAGCCTAGAACTATTGGGCAGAACAATCATGTTGTAAGGCAATATTTGTAGCCTCTGTTGGCTACTTTATTTGAGATCAGTTGTTCCTTATTCTCTTACTTATAAACTGTTGGTTTTGTTTCTTTTGATTGGTGGTAACTGTGGGAAATCTATAAGGCCTATGATGCAAACAACATATACATGAGGTGGCTGCCTTGTTTACTTGGTTCTTAATCTTTTTCATGACTGACATTCTCTTAGCAACAACACCTTCTATCTTATGCTGATGGCAGTGAATGGATGTGCACACTAGGGTTCCATGGCAGCCATGATCTTGGATTTGCACTTGTTTGGTTCTTCTGTTGCCTGTAGTTTGTAACTTACTGTTCTACTGGTTTTCTATTAGTATGGCAGCCACCAATGATTTCAACTTGATGAACACCACCACATTCTAAAGCTGAGGCCAATCTTTTCTTACAATGCCTATGATGTCATAATTGTTGATTTGAACTTGATGATGCTGGTCATCAGTGAGGGACTTAAGATCAACGATTTGTTTCATCGCAAACCGTAGATCTCCGAGTTCCACACTCATGACTAGTTTCATGTATTACATTTGACTGAGACTAAACCATTGTTTCATTTCACAGAAATGGCAACTTGCTATGTGGTTTTCTATGGGAAGACTCTAGGGATTTACCTGACTTGGCATGAGTGCAGTAAGCAAGTTCTTAGGGTCAGAAATGCTATATACAAGAAGTATAGCAACTATGAGCAGGTTGTTAGAGATTTTTTAGGCGGCAGTGAGAGATGTCAATCCATCTCATGGAGCAGCAGCTCCCCTCCCCTATGATCTGGTTCCTGATGATGCTTTTGCTCCAATCATTGCTCCTTCTGATGGTAATGGTAAGGCTGGTTGGTGGAAGAATGTGTTAATCACCTCACTTGTTATCCTGTTGTTTGGACTATGGATGAAGGGGGGCAATACTGGCTGCTACGACTGCCCCACTTAGGCTTGCGATGACTACAACTAGATGAGCTGCTGCTGTGTCTTACTAATTTCTGTCATCCATTTCTGTTACCTATCGCCTATGTGTTGTTGGGCTGTTGATGTTGTTATTTTGCCTTGCTTCATTAGTACTTTTGTAACTGTGGGAATTAGGCCGATGATGAAAAAATGGATGGGTGCATTAGCTGGCTACATGTGCTTTTTGTTTGTGTAATCCATTTTTGTGATCTTCTACTTGTGCTGGGCTTCACAGACTTGTCTTTGGTGGCTGACTATGCTGCAAATGGACCTGTTCTTCCTTGCTTCCTTCTTTAATTGTACCATGTAGCCAGCAATGTTATGGATTGATCAACTGTTAATTTGTCTAAGGCATGTTAATTTGTCTGAGGCCTAGTGCTTTTAACAGCACTAATTGTATTATTTACTTGTTCAAAACTGTTGTAATGGATCTCCAACTCTTGCTCATTCCATTGCTATAACTGCATTTCTACATCTTGACTATGGGCCTGGCCGAGGCAGCCAACAACCAAACACAATCTCGGTTTGGTAGTTGGAGTTAGTTGGCTCCTCAGCTCGGCTGCACGAGTGCAAACAAACACAATCTCAAGTGGGTCTGGCCTGTTTCACACGAGATGCCAACAAGAGCTGTTGCACCACTTGGGGCAGGCCTGGACTGGCCTGGGCCAGGCGGGCGGGCCAAGCCGGACTCAGCCACCCTCCCAAACTGGCCTTATATGCATCTGTGCAACCCTTCTGTCGTCCCTTTTTTTTTACCTGTCGCTTTGAACGCGTGCTTCTATGCTTTATGATGAAAGGACTGTGCTTTTTCATCTCTTTATACACTTTTTTTTCAAACAAAATGCCGGTGAAAGTTTTACGTGATGACATGAGAAACAAGCGACCAACGTTATTTAATTTGTTTGTTCTCTTTCAAAAATTTTAAAGAGGTGATTATTTTGGTTGGACACATCACTATTTTCAGTATTGTGGACTAGATAGACTGGGCGGAAGAAAATTATGGCAGTAGATACAACAGAAAGTTTTTACTTACAAATTAAGTGTAGCTCAACTGGTTCCTTGTGGTGAACCTGTCTGTCTAGGTTAAAGTTCTTCGTTACTTGTATTTTTCTAAATTTATTAGAGAATTTAATGTTGTTGTTGTTTTTATGGTAGGTGACGTGGCCGTATCTCTTGTGCGTGCATGCATGAATGTCTTAAAAAACAAAAAGCTTACTTTTTTTGATAAAGAGGATGGATTCATAAAGGTCTGAGCTTGTATTTGCTCAGCTGAAGGTGCCCATTGTTTGTGCTCATGTTCGTAGATGCACTATCACCAACACGGTCCTTGTTAATGCATTGGAATCATTTTATCATCTCCGGCCTGTTGCCACAAATGTAGTACTCCCCCGCTCACAAAAAAAAAACCTTGTCTAAGACTAGGCAAACCTTTGAACACGCATTAATAACTATTACATTATTGAGTTCCAAAAAATGTGTAAGTTATACCTGTTAATTTGTGTTTAAAATATTTAGAAATTTCTTATATTTGAAGGATTTTAAGAATAACTATAAAAGAAATTAGAAGACCATGCAAAGTAAATTGTGTCAGATATTTGCGACCGGAGGTGGTAGCATTTATCCTTGGAAAAGAACATAACACTTGCCCTTTTTGGTCAAAAGATACTCTTTAGTATTTATATAACTGCAAGTATTTCAAATCAAATGATCATTGATTTGTTCCATTTGCACATTGATAACAAAGCTGTGGCTCTCTCTCTCTCTCTCTCTGCCTGCGGCTACCCTTTTGAATCACTTGGTCCCCGTTCGGCTTGGCTGAATTGTTGTGAGAAAAAACACTATTCTAAAAAAACAAGCTGAATAATGCGGATAATAAGGTAAGCCGAACGGGGCCTAAAGGAACACCAAAAGCCAGCTTTAAAGCATGTGGCTTTTCTCTTTATTCTTATAGGGAGAAAAGATATGCAAAGCAACAGACATTTATATATGCCAGGCCAAAAACCTACTGGATGATATCTCTATCTTGTCTGTTTCATTGGAAGTTTGTTAAACTGCACAATCTCTTGGATGCTCCAAAGAGCAATCAGAGCCTCCTGAAGTGTACTATATATATATATATGTGTGTGTGTGTGTGTGTGTGTGTGTGTAATTCTCTATATGCATATGTATGGCTTTTATTGGGAGGGAATTGTTGGCTTTAGACTTTAAGTGGTACATTTATTAATATCAACATTGCATATAAACTAGAAGAGAACCATCTTTAGCAACTACCTTTTTTCCCAAAATATATAATGCTACAGGCCCCTTTTGTTTCCTTTATCAGATAACTTGCCCCTTTTAATTACTGTGGACATTTTTTCCTTCAAAATTATCAATATATAAGACATTTTCTTGGCCCTTGCTTTTTGAAGTATAGAGAATATAATAAAACTTGTGTTGGTAGCCACTAGAACCTACACTAGGTTTGAGCTAACTAAACTACTTGTGCAAACTATATCGCGGCACAACTAGTGCTACTGCAGATGAACCGACGCGGTAAATAAACTTGAACAATGTTGATATATGGTCTATATATGCAGATTTAGGAAATATTCGTTTCCCAGAATTGAACAATAGTGTGCCGAGAAACTAATTTCCATATTCTACTAGTGATCAGTGATCACGAACCTAGATAGGGTATAGTTTCATCAGGGGTTAATGAACCTAATGCAATTCGTAGGAAAGCATCCTGGATTTGGAAACTAATTATCTTCTTATGAGAACTTGTTCTCCATATAGATACTGATAGCTGCAAGCCTGAAAGGGCATCTTCAAAATAGTTCCATAGTCTCCTGAAGTATTTCTATATGTTTTTACTATTCCATTTGTTTATGTGGCACTTCAGAGTTAAGGCCAATAAAATGCATTCCTTGGGGGCAAAATAACAACTAAATCTAATAGTTGAGTGTCTGAACATTAAAAATATGTTGCACAAGCTGTTTTAGATAGCAAGGAGCTACCATTTGAAATAGAAGTTTCCTGTTTTTTGCTGAAAAAAAAAGAAATCCTTTGTTCGGTGGCCGTCACCATTTGTAAGAAACGTTGTTTTTCATCAATTTTGATCAAGCAGTACTGAGATAAACTAATTTTCCTGGCTTGTATCTTCTGTAAAAAGAATATGACTACATTTAAGCCTACAATCACTGTTACATATTCGATGAATAATCTGACCGTTGGGTGCTCTGTCATTAGCTCTAATAATACCATGCATTTTCAAGCCTCGTGATAGAGCTCCCTTAACCCCAACAAACAGTACCTGGAGATGCCTTCTAATAGGCCCAAAAAAACTGATCACAAGGAAATGGTGGGCCCTTAAATCTTACCAAAACCCATGGGACAATGATATTGCAGGACTAAGAAGGACCCTAAACAATTGCTTTAATTTCTCACACCATCTTAATATTCCTTCAGGAGTGAGGATAATGCTACAAGAACAAACACATTGACAAGATTCCGCATTTAACAATGCCAGTAGTACAGGCACTCTACATGGTATAGGCCCAATGACAATGCCAGTAGTATAGGCACTCTACATGTGTCATCTTTTATCTATGTGCTATTTGATCGCAGGAGCATTTTTTATATGGAAACATATTGCCCTGTTCGTTTGAGCTACTTTTCAGCCATGGAACAGTATTTTTCTCTCACAACATTTCAGCATAAGCATCAGCATAAGCCAAATTTCAGCATAAGCGAACAGGGTACATGAATGACAGGTATATTTTTATTAAGAACTCCTTGA